CGGGGGCGCGGCGGGGCGCGGGGAGGGGCCGCCACCGGCCTAGGATGGTCCCGGCCCTCCGCTGCGAAGCGTTATTGTTTGCAGAGTTTATTGTTCGAGCCCCTGCAAAGCAAGTCCTCGCCGGCTCAGTAGACCGGCCGCGGCAAGAATCAATTCAAAGATCAAGAAAGTTATTCCCGGACGGTTCATGAACAGACCCCGAGTCTCTGAAAAGGGAGGACGGGAGCGCGGCTCCAGTTCGGTAGGCTGAAGCTGGCTGTCCTTGAGGGAGGAACCTCAACAGCGCAACAGACTGGCTCTTCTACTTTTGCGAGCAGAGGGTCTGAAAAAGAAATTTTGCTTTCCTTTGGCTCCGTATTTCTCAGTCATGTATGAAAATTAAATATGAAGTAGCTGTGCAGAAACTGAAATACATGAGGACAACATGCATTGCCTTTACGACGAAAGGAAACTTCTCTTAAAGTGAAATGGCAATTGATTGTAACGCTAAATGTCACCTTAGTTGAAAAAATGATTAGAATACTTCCCAGAAGACTGTTCCACCCTTTCCCGCAACATTGCTCAGGTCGAAACTAGGACACCAAGTAATTGACAAGATTCTAAGGAGAAAAGTTTCATATATTCAGATGTTTCGCATGAGCTATTTTAGCATTAAGAGTACAGCACAAAGAAAGAGGAAGGAAAACCAAGAAAGGAAATAATTTACAGCAATCTCAGAAATTTAATTACAGATTGTTAGGAGGTAGATGGAAAATATGTAAAACAAGATTTGAAGATAAGTTTGAAAAGAAAAAGAACTAGGAGAGAATTTTAATTCAGTTATGATTTATTTTGGATTTAAGATGAAAAGATTTGAGAGACCAACAGACAGCCATACAGTTTGAGTGATGACTTGTGATTTTTTTTCTCCCCTTTGTCCCCCATTGTTAACCTCTTAATGAGTGCTTTTACTTGTTTCTCTGTCTCTGTCTCTGTCTCTCCCCCTCCCTCCCTCCCTCCCTCTCTCAGGTATCCAGTTCCTCTCTGTATCTAGTACCATTATCTTCGTTCAGGGCACCATCTGTTCAGATCTTGCATACTGCTTCAGCCACCTAACCAGTTCCCCAGCTTGTACTCTTCTCCCTTTCTAATCCAATCTCTACAATGCCACCAAGTTTATATTTTATAAAATAAAAGTCTGATTGTGTACTCATCTTTTTTAGCTCCCAGAAAGTCATAACACTATCCTGGTGTAAAGTCTCCAGACTCTAACATCTTACAGGGTCATTTTACTGCTTTTGTTTGGCTACACAGTGAAGGATCTCTTTGGATTTTTCTTTTAATTGAACTAGAATACCTCTTAATTATTCCCCAGTCTTCACTGCCCTAAGCTGCTCGAAGCTGTTCTAAACCAGGCTTTTCCCACAGTGTTTCCTGCCAGTGTTAGGAGTCACTTGCATTTTGGATTGCTGCCTAGCCCTTCTTACCTGTCCCATCTAATTTCCATACACTGTCCTCCATTTCTGGTACTTAACTCAAGCATTCTGAAGTATTTGCGTGACCTGTAATATCTTTCACTGGAGTGTTGCCAGGCTAAATTCAATTAATCCATCAGAACAAGAAGTCTTCCCTCCAAGAAGTCTTCCCTAACCTTCACCTTCCTAGGTGCAAATTGGTGTTCTTTCCCCTCTCTCACTGCACCAATTGCACATATCTCTTCTAACACTTTTTTCAGTATTCTTTTATTTGTAAGTATCCCCCAATTGGACTAGAAGTTCCTTGATGGCAGTATAGGGGATTTGCCTTCGTGTTCCTAATGCCAGGCATGAAGGCTTTTACCTGGTAGGCACTTATTAAAAAAACCATCATTGTTATCATTATCATTATTATTATTATTATTGAATGAATGAGACAAATGTATGAACAAATACCACAAAAGGGTTGACAATTCTAGAAAATTGCATATACTGTTGTTAAGTATGATAGATGTAACTTGTCATATTTATGCCAAAACTCTTCTAAACAACTTAATCATATCATATTTGTAAATTTTTTCAACTTTGTTGTTACATTAAATATTTATAAGACTTTTCCCAGCATCTCCTTGTGCTACCTCAGGGATTCCTAAACTGAAGCCTATAGCCCCCTATCATAAATGGGGACTCAAAGTGCCTGCTCTGAAACTATATATAAAACATTTAGTGTTTTTTTTTCCTTCATCTTTATAGGAATCCCAATCATAAATATGTAAAGAGCTTCTACATTCCTCCTGACTAATGCCTGCTTTCAACAGCTTCAACTGCATCTTTGTTGACAATTCCTCATGTAAGATGATTGAACTCTGCACAGAAACTCATTCTCATTATCCTGCCAACTCCCTCAAATGATTCCCTCGACTATATACTCAGATCTCACAAAGTTGTGATATTTAAGTCACCCAGTATTCCTTCCCATCCTCAACCTCATTTTGGAGTGATTGAATTCAGCTCATTCTATGACAAATTACTTTTAAGTTAATGTGTTAATCTCTAACTGATGAAGTACACTGCTGAGGGGAGCAGCGGGCAGGTCAGGAGAGAGAGGTCTGACACAACACGTAGAGGTCTGCCGCCACCCTCCAGGGTGGGGTCAAACTCATGCTTGAAGTGGCTTTAGCTTCTTAGTGCTGTGCCTTAACCCTCTGCTCCACCAGAGAGGGCCCTATCTGAATTCTTTTTTAAAAAAAGTTTCCTTTATTTATGCATGCAAGAACTGGGGTAAAGGCCAGAGGTGTGGGTGAGAAAATTCACCAAAAATGGAGTGCGGGAGAAGAACAGGCAGATCTATTGAAATACACTGCTGAGGGAAGTAGCAGGTAAGACAGAAGAGGTCTGCCGAGCCACTTGTGGGTCACCTCCCTGGCCAGAGATCGAACTCATGCTGCAGTGGCTGCAGACAAATTCATATGCTTCAGTTTAACCCTTTGTGCCCCCAGGGAGGCCCTTTTTATCTGAACTCTAAACATGGCCTCTGCTAAACTCATTCTAGTCCACTTTCCACTACCCTTAGACAACTTACTTTGCCTCCAAAGTCTGATTGTTATCAGCACCTTTACCAAATACTGGTTCCTTTCAGGTCAATTAAAACTCATTTGTATGCGGGCCCTCCCTGGTGGTTAAAGCACAGCATTATAAAGCTGTCCAAAGTCACTGCAGCACAAGTTCCATCCTCAGAAGGGAGATGACCCACATGGTGTGGCAGACCTCTCCTGTCCTACCCACTGCTCTTCTCAGCAGTGTATTTCAGTCATTCTGCCTGTTCTGTTCCCCACTCTATCTCTGGCGAATCCTCTCACTCCCTGAACCTCTGGCCTATACCCCACTTCTTTTTTTTTTTTCTTCTGCTGTATACACATTTATTTTTTTGTTGTTTGTGTTTTTTTAATTTATTACAAAGTTTACCCCACTTCTTATACACATAAATAAATAAAATCTTAAAGAAAAAATCTCATTTGTTGGAACATAGCCTTCACAAACCTGAACTTACCAACAACAAAGGAATTCAAGCATTCCAGAGCTAGTCTCCTCTCAATTTCAACTCTTTCTGAGGAATATTTTCTCTCTCTGATCCTAGCAGAGTTAGTTTCTCTTTCCCCCTACTTTGCAGAGCTCCCACTTCATACTATCAGTATGGCACTGATTAAGTGACTTTACAATTATGCTTTAATATTTGTTTCCCCTTGTAAGAGTTATTTAAAATATTGAGCATTTTTTTTTTAAAGATGTATTTATGCTTACAGAACTGAGGTACAGGCCAGAGGTGCCAGGGCGGTGGGAGGATTCACCAGAGAGAGAGTGAGAGCACAACAGGCAGGTGTGGTGTACTGAAATACACTGCTGAGAGGAGCAGCAGGCAGATTAGTAGAGGTCTGCCACACCATGTGGGTACCTCCCAGGCTGGGGATGGAACTCATGCTGCAGTGGCTATAACACCAGGGAGAGCCCCCATTACATCTTTATAGTTTGAGGTATTATATTTCTTACTTTCAAAGAGCCCTTAATTTTTGAGTTTTGGTGGGTGCAAGACTACCTCATACTTTGGAAACTGAGTTTGGCCAAAGTCCTTCTCAGTTAAGTGTATTATATTTTGTCCCCTGAAATTTGGAATCTGGGCTTTGGGATGGGGGGGCGGCGATATGGGGAGTGGAAGAGAGAGACAGAGAATTCACAGTCATATGGATAGTTATGGCAACCAGGGTCTGTATTTCAGTAGATCTGCTTGTTCAGTTCCCCACTGTGACTCTGGTGAATCTTCTCAGCCCCACACCTCTGTGTTGTACCCCTGTTCATCTCTGCAGAAATAAAGAAAATCTTTTAAAAGGAATAAATCAGGGACCTTCCCTGTGGCACAATGGGTGCAGCACTATGGCACTATCCGAAGCCACTGCAGCATGAGTTCGATCCTCAGGCAGGGAGGTACCCACATGGTGTGGCAGACCTCTCCTAACATACCCACTACTCCCCTCAGTGGTATATTTCACAAGATCTTCCTGTTTTGCTTCCCACTGTCTCTGGTGAATCCTCTCACCGCACACCCTGCACCTCTGGTCTGTGCCCCAGTTCTGTATACATAAAAATAAACACATCTTTTTAAAAATTCATAGAAACTTATACAAAACATATAACCTGTACAAAGAGTTCTCTTGTCCTAAAAAGCCTTTTTGTGGCCCTCCCTGGTGGCGCAGCCGGTTAAAGCACAGCACGTAGAAGCTAAAGCCACTTCAGC